GTATTTTGTACAATAAAAATTTTAGTGAAATAATTACATAATAAAAACTTTACTTTGGTGCTGCAAATAAATTATGCAACACCAAGAGGGGTTGTACATGAGGGACCTCATCTAGACAGTGCCACCAAGAAGAACTACAGCTGTGTTTCTTTTATTTAAAAATAGAGTACTTAATCTAATTCTAGTTTTAAGTATCTCCAGCTAGGTCAACACTACATGTTCAGCTGCCAGGCCGACCAGCACTGGTCTATTATAGACCTGGCATGTAATGTGCCGACAGTTTTAGTGCACCCAATTAAATCCAATACAATTAAACCTGAGAAAAATAATTAAATGGAGGTTTTCATGAAAACTCATGGCTTTCCTATAGGGCACTCTCTTTATAACACTTTAAATACGAGTTGTTTTGCACTTTTTATTAGCGCCACCCACTAGACACGCATCTTCCCTGCACCTGCTCAAAGCACAGAAAACTCGCCCACAGACACTTACCGTGCTCAGAGGAGTCCATTTCGGATAAAATACGATCTTCGATTACGTTTACCTATTTGTAAACAAATGTCACCGCGTATATTTTGGGATGGATGAAAAAAGAAAGTTGACCCTCCCTGACTTCAGCTACATACACAAGAAGCTTTAGGTTTAACCAGCGACGAGCTTGAGCTTCCGGGGCGCGGATATGACGTCACCCCACCCTGCGCTCTTCTTCTTCTTCTTCTTGGTTTTTAAGGGCGGCTGGCACCAACGCAAATAGGTGCATTACCGCCACCTTCTGCTCCGGAGTGTGAAACAGAGTTTTAAATTCTATTTACCAACCCTGTATCTCTTATAAAATCAAAGAATACATTACTATTTATTTCACTTGCCCATTTTATTAAAACCTTAAAATTAAGATCCTGAATTCCACTTTTCCTTATTCCTATCATTTTTCTTCTTTCTTGTTCATACTTGCTACATTCAAGAAATACATGAGGTATTGTTTCTTCAACATGACATTGCTCACATAACCCATTTGGATGTTTCCCTGTTGTTTTACGCCCTGCGCTCGCTTCTCTGCACTGTGAATATAATTCGAACTAGTTTTTTTTAATGGTTAATATTTAGTGTTTAAAACAACCTGTACCACTTTTATGTCTCTTACCTAAGAATACAGAACATAGACTATTTTTATGTTGCACTTTTTGGAAATATATTTGTATATTTGTTAAATATTTGTAAAAGGATTTGGTTGCTGGCACTTTCCCCTGAAGATATTATATGGTAGCCTATAAATGATGGTTTTTCATTGCACTAATATTCAATTTTGAGTAATTGCTTCATTCATAAATACAGCAATGGTCATAATATTAAGGAATAAATTAAAGCAAAGGTTTAAACATAAAAAATGTAAATATAGTTTATTAAATATTGTTCTTTTTAATTGTTTTCCTTATTCATTGTATTTTTATATACAGGCTATATAGAGAGAATGGGATTCTCTCACACAACTCATCCATCATATTATTATATTTTTTCCACTTCACTTGTTCTCATTTCACCTTCATAGTGTTTTTTTTTTACTGAAAAGTAATTTTGTTGTTTTTATTTTAAGAAGACCACATTCACATCAAATGTTCATAAACATTTATTTTACACCAGCAAATAAATGTTTTTTTTTCTTTTAGTCATACAATAACCATGCTACAACATAAAGGTCTAGTATTATGCTTTTTAATAATTCAGTGTATGTACAAGAGACCTTCACTATAGAACTATGTGTAGCATAGTTTCAGAGTCAAATTCATGTAACATACCATTTGAAACAAGGACAATTCATTATAAACATGACAAAATAAGATCATAAATAAAAAAATGCATAAAATTACCATTTCACTATAATTACACTAAACATTTTCTCTTCTTTCTGAAGACATAATACAGCAATGGTCATAATATTAAGGAATAAATTAAAGCAAAGGTTTAAACATAAAAAATGTAAATATAGTTTATTAAATATTGTTCTTTTTAATTGTTTTCCTTATTCATTGTATTTTTATATACAGGCTATATAGAGAGAATGGGATTCTCTCACACAACTCATCCATCATATTTTTATATTTTTTCCACTTCACTTGTTCTCATTTCACCTTCATAGTGTTTTTTTTTTTACTGAAAAGTAATTTTGTTGTTTTTATTTTAAGAAGACCACATTCACATCAAATGTTCATAAACATTTATTTTACACCAGCAAATAAATGTTTTTTTTTCTTTTAGTCATACAATAACCATGCTACAACATAAAGGTCTAGTATTATGCTTTTTAATAATTCAGTGTATGTACAAGAGACCTTCACTATAGAACTATGTGTAGCATAGTTTCAGAGTCAAATTCATGTAACATACCATTTGAAACAAGGACAATTCATTATAAACATGACAAAATAAGATCATAAATAAAAAAATGCATAAAATTACCATTTCACTATAATTACACTAAACATTTTCTCTTCTTTCTGAAGACATAATATGCAACAATTTCCTGACCATTTTTCTCCAGTATGTTTTATTTTTTCTTCTTTAAGCAAGGTATTCATTCAACGTAAAATCCAACATTTTAATGACTAAGCCATACTCTTTATACGAGTGTAGCTCTGATACAGATAAATGCACAGGAAAAAAAAGACCAGAGGCTAACATCCATTAAAAACCATCTAGAGCATTGGAACAAGGGAATGAGAAAGAGAGTAAGAGAGAGGAGAAAGAGAGCAGATAGTGACCGAAGATACCATTGTACTCGATAACAAAATGTAAACAATTCAATGAAAAATTATTGGCCATTGAAAAGTAACTAGAAAAAGTGAATGAACATGGCTGGTGACATTTATATTTGGCTCCAGTTAGAGCTAAGATGGAAAATGAAAACAGACAGATGACAAACAAAATTCAGACCTGCCCACGTAAGCAGGCAGTGCGGGATGTCAGAGTAAAAAGCATGAGTTAATATGGCATTGATGGTCATCTTAGTGTAGGAAATCAGGTTTGGTATAAGAAGGTTATTAAAGCACTTTCAGTTATACTTGACGAGAGAACGGACCACGTGTACTGAGGCGACAGATCCGTTTAGCTGTTGGTGATGTCGCCACACACACCATCTAATTCACAATTTCACTGAAAACAACGCATAAACATAATCACCAGCAACACAAAGCAGTTTCAGGATCCTATTACATAACTTGGCTATATGACACAAAAATAGTTTAACGTTTAGTTTAATATTCTGATGGATAATGCCACATTTCTGAGGCTGCTCAGAGGAGAAACATAATCAAATAAATGCTAGTGTTTGCAAGTAGCATCAAACCTTAGCTGCTCAAATAATCTTCAGGACATCAAGGATTTCAAGTTTGTTGACGAACTTGCAATTTAACAAAAACTGCCAAGAAAAAAAAATCTCTCACGTAGTCTTCCATTTGCTTCATTGTGAAAAAGCCTGTTTTTAAGACAATTAAGATTTTAGCATTATTCTCATGACAATTAAGAATATTTCTCTCTATCCTTATACTGCAGAGAACAATCCCATGACCACTACTGTAATTTAAACACATTACAGAAATGTCCTAAAAACAGGCTTCATTTTATTTAGGTATAATATATGTATTTTGTCCTTTCAGGCTTTGAGAGACTGGATTTTAAACATGTATCCAGATGCTTGTAGTGTTAAAAAAACTTTGCCACTTCAATAAATAAATTGGAGGAACAAACATCATACATGGCTACCGCTTAGGAATGAATGTCTTTAAAATAAAAGCATTTCTCTCACAATAGACAGCATATCTTGGCATAGGGAGACTCAAGTGACCACAAGAGGCCATTACCACAGACACCAATAATAGTTATCTTAATAACTATATGCGGCAACAACTAAAATATAAAAATGACCAAAATATACATATATTGTACATACACATGATGTGTAAAGATTGTATACCCATATAAAAATGTCTCATTTGTTATAGTTTCCACCTTACGTACACACTCACTGTGATATGACACTATGGGAGTTTATGTTAGATTGTGTTCACAATTCCCTTTTGATGAGAGAAAAGAGACACAACTGGGCCAAACTGAGCTTAACACTAAGACCAAAGCCAAGAGCCCAACATGTTATCGCACATCAACGAACAACCTACACACTACACAGAGATGACAGTTAAATCCATTCCATATACAGAGAAGAGTCCTAAGTTTGGCTCAGCTTGTTACAAATGGTTCTCAGAATAAGACAGGAACACCAACACCCAGATGTAAATGAGCAAAATACTAGGAAGGAATGAAATATTAGAAATTGCATCATTTGTATCTCTCTCTGAAAAAGCTCGAATAAAACAAAAAACAACACTACTTATGGATAAACAAAGCAAAGCAATCCAAAGAACCCAATTAACGTTGAATGTTGCTGTTAATTTCAAAACTGAACTCAATTTCATGACACAAAGCAGATCAAATTGCCTACAGGGACACGGAAGATTCAAACTCTGCAGTAAACCAGGAATATTAGTGAGGTATGCGAACAGAACATTTGAGATTTTAAAAATGCAATATATTTCTGCTGTTTCTCAGCGCAATCGCACTAGTCTTCCAACACCTATGGCAAGTTCACAGAGTCAACTTTAAACCACACTCAAGTACTTATAAATGGGAACAAACATTTCATGTCAATAAATATACCAAAAACGAAGTCAAGGAACAGTGCATGCCACAGGACGACGAGCAAATCTGGCTGGAGGAGCAAGGGAACGAGTGGAAGGCAAGATCGGAGGCCAAAGGCAACAAAGAGATCAGGGTCAACGACAGGATCTTTTTTTATCTTTTTTCTCAAGCTTGTTTTATAAGCTACGGTACGGTGAGGCGAATGTGCGCAACTCTTGTGTGGGTGATGGAAGTGGTGCGTGAATAAGGGACAGGATACGCTAAAGAATTCAGCTTTCGGCTTTTCTCCTCTCAAAAACAGGCTTTTTTAATTGTAGTTGAAGGATTCTTTCCATTAATTTTTTTTTCCTCTTGGAGAGATGACGCAGAGTGGTGAGAGACAATCCCCAGGGTGGAGGTGAAGAGAGTGGGGCATTTAATTGAAGCCGGTGTCAGTGTGGTAAGTAGTCTGGTAACCGTCAGAAGTTAGCTGGGTGGTTTCTGTGGCAGACGTGGGCTGCATCACGATGGGCTCACCTCCACCTCCCTCTGCAGAAAGATTTTAACAGGACATAATGGTTTAAACATAAAGAATCTGGAGGACAATAGGGATAGCTGCTTAAAGGTGGCATGTTATGGGCATGTAACACACATCTAACCTCTCTCATCAGACTGCAGTTGGGCCTCTAAGTCTTCAGGGGAGACATAGAATTCCTGTTCCTGTCCCTCAGGTGGCCGCGGTTTACACTTCCCACAGCAGCAGTTACAACAACAGCACAGGCAACAGCAGAAGTAGCAGCCTGTAGCCAGGCCACAGAAAATAAACAGAGCCTGTAGGGGGAAACAGAGAGCAACACAACAAATTAGAGTTAAAGGTGGGGTATGTTTTTTTTTCAAAAACGCTGTAGAAAACTGAATCTGGCCGAATACCAAAACAAACTTGTAGCCAATCAGCAGTAAGGGGCGTGTCTACTCGTGATAAGGAGGAGAGAGCGTTCAGTGCACAGGACGGACGTTAGCCGAGCCGAGCGACAGAAAGTCAGAGATGACGGATAAAAAACAAAAGAGGAAAACGTCTGCGGAACAAAAGAAGGCTTACAATAAGGCAAGAAATAGGACCCGTGTAAATATCGGATCAGCTTTCCAGCGCTGGAGAGAACTCAAGGAGCGGAAGGCCTGCGATCGGACTCTGAGGTTGCTTTGTTTTTTCTCGATAGTTGAGTAACACCGTGTCTGCGCCGCAACAGCTAAAGTCCGTCTAGTACACTGGACACGACAAAGCAACCGTTGAAAATCATTTGAAATTTGTGTCTATACGTCATAAATAGAACGCAGCAGCAGTTTTCTGTCGGGGATTACTGTCTAAAAGTTAGGGGTAAGTAAGATTTGTTTTTTTCTTTTATGAAAAAATTGATACTTTTATTCAGGAAGAATGCATTAATTATTCATTAATTAATAATTAATTATTGATCAAATGTGACAGTAAAGACATTTCGATTTCAAATAAATGCTGTTATTTTGAACTGTCTATTCATCAATAAATCCTGAAAAACATGTATCAACGTTTTTACAGAAATATTAAGCAACACAATTGTTTTAAACATTGATAAGAAGAAATATTTCTTCAACACCAAATCAGCATATTCGAATGATTTCTGAAGGATCGTGTGACACTGGAGTAATGAGTAATGAAAATTCAGCTTTGCATCACAGCAATAAATCAGTTTAATCCTCAAACTTTACATTAAAACATATAAATCCAGCCAGAAACACAGTCTTACCTTGGCCCACCAGCTGGACAGGACAAAGTAAGTGTTGACATTCTCTTCACCAAACTGTTCAGCCACATACAGTCCCAGAGAGCCATACTTGTCATAGATGTTTCTCTTTGTTGGGTCGTTAAGAATGGCATGGGCATTGTTTATCTCTTTAAACTTATCAACTGCCTCAGGGTTGTCAGGATTCTTGTCAGGGTGATATTTCAATGCCAATTTCCTTTAAAAGATAAAAAGGGCACTTAAACTACATTAAATGCTTTCGGATTTTGGTATTTGGACATACTATTATTATTTTTTCATTATTTGTATCAATACATCCTATTGGAATGAACTCTGATAAACTGTTGCAAAATAAATAATACTAATAAAATAAAAATAAAATAAATAAGAATTACTTTTTTTTAAATTTCAATATCTATTCTAAACTAATTGTGAACAAATTATTAATTTGGTGTAACATTGAAACAAAAATATGAAGATGGGTTTCTGATTTCACAAATTTGGACACCTCTCAAACCAACCAGGCATACTGGAGTGTTTTTATTTCTATCAATATATCTGATATGGATGCAGCCCAAAAGACCTGTCAATGTCACAAAAAAAATTAAAAATTCTAATAAATTTGAAAAATAAAATAAATGAGAACAACAGTGTAATCTTTGTTCTTTATTAGTGAAGCAATTTTTACTAAATTGAAAAAAAAAATCTTGAAAACTATTTTTTTAAATGCAATTAAATTTAATGTACATAGTTATTATTTTCAATAATATCACATTTATTAAATATACAGTAAAATGTGTTTAGCATGACAATATTATTAATATATATATATTTTTATATATACAAAATATACCAAAAATAAAACTGGCATTGAGAGTCATGAAATATCATTAATGCATAATACAATGATAGCAATGCTGTGATATTTCCAGGTTACTGTACCATGAAAATCTCACACTGTGATATCGCTTTAAAAAACACTTCATAATGAGATCCATTACTTTCGTGTAGTCCTAGGGTAGCTAAAACTGTGCATGGCAAATGGCCCCTGAATGCACTTAGTTTTATTGAGCTGCAGGGTTCCACATTGCTGTGTGCTGCATTTAGCCTATAAACATCTGATAAAGAAACGTGCTGTTTAGTAGTATTTTATCAAATAAATCAACTGTATATTTAAAAAAATATGTCTAGGGCCAATCATTCCTCTGCATTTATTTAATTCTGTGAAATCATTCCACTGCATAAAAGTCTGTGAAATGTGATTAAAATGTGTAAACACGACTATATCTGTTCTGTTGAAATCTTAAATTATTTTATTACTTGGCAACAGGACCCCCGGGTAAGGGTAAGGCACGATTCCCATCCCTACCGTTTACAGCTCGACACGCAGCTGCGCTATTCTGTCTGCATGAAAGAGCGCTCGTTTTTATAACACGAAATGTCGCACTGTGTGTCCGTACTACGGCGTCTTATACCAAAAATAAAACTGGCATTGAGAGTCATGAAATATCATTAATGCATAATACAATGATAGCAATGCTGTGATATTTCCAGGTTACTGTACCATGAAAATCTCACACTGTGATATCGCTTTAAAAAACACTTCATAATGAGATCCATTACTTTCGTGTAGTCCTAGGGTAGCTAAAACTGTGCATGGCAAATGGCCCCTGAATGCACTTAGTTTTATTGAGCTGCAGGGTTCCACATTGCTGTGTGCTGCATTTAGCCTATAAACATCTGATAAAGACTCCAGCCAGTAAAAGTGAAAAGAAGCAGAGCAGAATGCTGAACAGGGATGCTGAGGAAAGGACAGAGCTTCTCAGACTCACCTGTATGACTTCTTGATGTCATCGACAGTGGCCAGTTTGTCGACACCGAGCACATGATAGAGTGATTCTCCAGAGGTGGAGAGAGTGCGCTGCCTCTGCTGCTCAGCCATGGCAAATCAGGTCCTCAACAATCTGAACACACACAAACACACAACATGCTGCATGGCAATATTACAAAACTCTTCAAAATACAAAGCATGAATATTGAAGCATTTCATTTGAACAACAGGGAACGTCATGATGCAATATTTCCAAACAAGGACACTGGCCTAATGACAAACGACCTTCATCATAATCTTCATCACTATAAATCAAAAGTAATAATGGATCCTCATTATTATTTTCTAGTCTTTTCTTGCACTCTCTCTTTTTATCAGGCTTTGGTTTAGTCACCATAAGTTCACTTAAGTTCTCTTTGTTTATTATATAATCCATATTCTACAGTGTGACTAATTTAACATTCAGTGTGGCGTGCAGTTGTGTTTCATGTAGTTTGGCCAATCTGGGGTCTAATTGAAATCAGATGGCATGGCATATGTAGAAAGTCTCTCCTTGCACTGCATAAAGTCCTTTGTTCAAAATATTAGAGAGCAGTTTTGCTTTAGTTAAGATGCTGCTGTCAAATCTCAGTAATGAATGATAACAGACTGCTTCAACTATACAACTAACATGTCTACTCTTCAACACAGATAATGGCATTTTCACACAAGGCAACGCTGAAAACGTTCAATCTGGCATGTCACTGTGGCAATTAGGATTAAATCAAATGCTTTTAAATACTTTTTTGAACATTATATTTATAATATTATCTAATACTGTATATAAAAAATACATTTGGATAAAGTTGGAATACTCTCAAACTGAAGTAAGGTTTTATTTCATAAAACATTTAAGTAAACAGCTTAAACTGAATTTCACAGATCTATGATTTGAGCAGAAAACAGATATTCCAAAGCGGTGAGCTTTTCCACTTCGAAGTAATTTGCTGTTCTGATTAAAACTAACCAACAAAATCTCATTCAGTTTCTACTCACATCAACGTTTATCAAAACTTGGAGTTGATAAATATGTACCGAATATAAATTTGCCTCTAAAACCCCAGAGGACACATAAAACGCATTATCAGATGAACAGCAGACATCCAGAGAGAACATGTCCGATATTCTCCAGATTATAGTTTGGGGTTTAAACTCTAAAACCACTCAAGATAATTAGTAGTTTAATTGGATTTCAGATCAATACTTAAACGTAGAGACTTAACAGATCAGCTGGATCTTTTAAAGATGGGATAAAGGTTTTATAGGGCCCAAATAACAATGAATATCATGCTGCTTCTGTTTATCTGTCATAGCATGATGTTCAGGCTGTTGACACAAGAACAGTATCACAAAGATGTTTCTAATGACAACTTGCCTGACTGCACACTAATAGTTATTTTCAACAAATCCTTTACTACTGTAATGATGACATAACTAGCACTCTCTAGTGATCATATAAGCAGTACTCATGATTCACCAGCTGACTCACACTTTTCCTATCAGCTGATTATTTCGTGTTGATCCCCAGAAAGAGAAATCGATACCACAGGATATCACAGTGTTCAGTTTCCAGCAGATGCCATATTCACAACCTAACAGGGTGATGACAGATTTTTACAAGTGTCACCTTGTGAATCAATGAAATCCATATTGTCATGTCTATACTGGAGATTTCAGTTGTACTATCGTGTACCAGAGAACATGAAATACAAAGACTGACACAGTTTCATATCAGTAGAATAAAGCAAGTGTTAATCTGTCTCTCCATGTGCTTGCTTGTCTCATCATGTCTGGAGAGGCCTGGGTTAGTCAAATCAATCTTGTGCACCACAATAAGCTTTCCTCAGCTGACTGTAGTACCTCAGATTGTTTACTCAGCACTGCCAGACCCCAATAATTCAGACTAGCATTCAGGGCTTCTGAGGAAGAGAGTGAGACTCCTCAAAGAAGATATTAGGGCATCTGTGTGTGTGACGTTAGTTTGAAAAATCTAAATGTAGCATTGTGCATCATTTATAATTGATCCGTAAACACCAAACTCTGTTGTGAACTTGGGTTTTTATATGTCATATACGCTGTTCACTGTAAGCGTTAATGATAAGCATCTATATAGGATAAAATGATGATAAAAATCCTTAGTATTACAAATGTTACGCGTTATGGATGCACATTTTCCAGAAGCATCGAGAGGATTCTCGAGCTGAAGAAATGGCTTGGCTGCATTCAGCTTCACGTCGTTCCATGACACTTTCAAACAGACCCACCCATGATCCCCAACATGGTGTCTGGGTTGACAGCTCATAAGATTTTTGCAACAAAGCCAGTAAACTGGAATTATAGGAAGAGTTTCGTTAGCTGTTCGTAAACGCGAATTGTTATATTCTTTAAAAGAACCGACTCAATCGATTCCTGGACGAATGACTCGTTTGAGTTGGTTCTTTTATTCACTCACCCCAAAAAATATAGGCCAGCGAGACCAGCTATAGTGCGATTCTCAAACGAAAGATTGAAACTTACATCTGAATAACTGGTTGTTCAAACGGAAACGTGCTGTTTAGTAGTATTTTATAAAATAAATCAACTGTATATTTAAAAAAATATGTCTAGGGCCAATCATTCCTCTGCATTTATTTAATTCTGTGAAATCATTCCACTGCATAAAAGTCTGTGAAATGTGATTAAAATGTGTAAACACGACTATATCTGTTCTGTTGAAATCTTAAATTATTTTATTACTTGGCAACAGGACCCCCGGGTAAGGGTAAGGCACGATTCCCATCCCTACCGTTTACAGCTCGACACGCAGCTGCGCTATTCTGTCTGCATGAAAGAGCGCTCGTTTTTATAACACGAAATGTCGCACTGTGTGTCCGTACTACGGCGTCTCTATCTCTATATGTCAACAAGAGAAAATACACACATGATTCATTCATTCATATTATAAAGTTGAGGAGGGGCGGTTTGCTGATGCGAATCTGAGCAACAAACGGAAATTTTTGTCAGCCCTTCATAATGCAGATTGCGATCTACTGTGTCAGTTACTGCAGTAGATTACTCCACCAGAAGGAAAGGTTTTACAGTTAATCTCTGACTTGCTTCGCTTCTGCATCACTAGGAAGGGCCCCGGTGCTTTGGTTTGCTTTGCGCTCCAGCATCCATATTCTCTGGCCTGTTAGCTCGCGCTCCCGTTACACCACATAAAACCAATTCACCCAAGCCCATGATAAATCAGGAGAGCAGGCAAACTATTTTTTTTGCCGTGGTTTCAACGCATGCACCGCTTACCGTTTTGTCGGCCCTGACGTCGTGATTTAATTTCAGTGCGTTAAAGGAACCGATGTTAAATTTGTGGTTGCATCCCCGGGAACCGCGCGATAACGTAAGTGTACCAGATGCAGCAGATATCGCTCGGCTCCGCCCACCCGTGACATCACCACAGCGACGTGCGCATCACCCCCTGAAGAACTAGGCCCGTTTCACTGGATGAAAAGGCTCTTATTACACTGTCATCGAGAGGATATGGCCAAGAAGACAAAATAGTAACCTTTATATTACCTAATGTTATGTGTGTTTAAAGAATGGTAATTAACTCATTTTAGATTTTCTGTTTGCAATGACCCTTTATGTTTCATATTGATTTGTGAATCTGTCGCCACCTTCTGGTGAGTGAAAGAACTTGCATCTAATAATTTGGAGGCTACACAAGAGCTCATTGATCACTGATCAGAAACACTTAAGACTGAGACAGTTTTATTATTCTAATCATATTAGTTGAATGACAATTGTCCTACTGTTTCATATACTTTACATTTTAGATAAATATTTGTTATACAAAACATAAAACATGTTTCATTACATAATTTTCAACCAGCCCTGCTAATACACATTTAAATGAATAAATATATATACTCTAAAACATTATATAAAATACATATAAAAGTTTTGAGGAATTTCAATCCATTTGTTACAAATGACAAATGAACGAAACCCCAATATCTCTGAAAGGAAGAATTTGTTTTCAACATGATGTTGAGATGATCTGAGGCTGATCCAGCTGATCAACTCGCTTTGCTTCACCCAGCGCTATGAATACAGTGACACCAATGACGTTCACCAGAGCCAGGATTGAGAACACATTCACCCAGGAACCTGTGATCTCAATCATGTAGCCAGACAAGTATACCAACAGCAAACCTGTGAAATACAGTACAAAGAGAATAAGATATGGGGAAAGAAGAAGAGCAATATATAAACAGGAATTAAACAGTACAAATGTGGTGAGATGTTAGATATAAGTAACTGCACAGGACTTGAATAACATTTTGCCGAATAGTCTAAATTATGAGAAAAAGTTTAAATTATGACATACTAAGTCTGTTAAAGTTATAATTATGAGATCAAGTGTAAATTATGACAAACATTTTAAATGAGTAAGTCATACTTCTAAGATAAAAAGTCAAATTCTACTTATTAATTATGAGATGAAAAGTCCAGACTATAAATTAAGAGTTGTAATTATGAGATAAAATTCTAAATTATTACAAGAAAAAGTCAAAACTATTACATACTAAATCATAATTATGAGATAAAGTCTAAATTATGATATGAAATAAATTATTCTCATATAAAGTCAAAATTGACAATATGTCTGACAGCGAGTTATGAAATTAAAAGTCAGTTATAATTGTCATAATTATTTTGTCATATATTTATAATTATGTTTTGAGTTTTAATTTGACTAAACTATTTAAATACTCCTTCTACAAGTATATTAATGTCCAGTGGACTGTATAGTCTGCATACATGTAATTGGTTACATTACAGAAAAAGGATTATAAACCCACCAGTAAAAGCAGAACATGTGTTCATAACCCCTGCAAGAAAGAGAGCAACATATTTAGAACAATACTCATTGTGTTTTAATGAAATAAAATAATTAATTTTTACAAGCAAGAGGTAGACTCACCAAACAGGGCTCCTGCACATGATGGTGCCTGGTCATGCACATTCACAGACACCCCACTGAAAATACACACACAGGTTTCTCTATATAATGTTAGCTATGTTGATTGGCTAAATCTTCTACACATTTATATTTGAGTATGAAAGATCTAATAGACTGTATACAGAGTAATCAATGCTGTAAAATCATGTTTTGGATATGACAGTTCATTCTAACCTATTATTAAATGTGGACAGCCCAACAGCCAGAGACACACAAGCAACCGCATGGATAAAGCTGTCCGTCTTACAGAGAAGGAAGATGAACACACTGGCTAATCCCATTGCACAGAACTACACAAGCATGTTTCAAACAGACACACACAAACACAATACAGATTATATATTTTGATGCATTATATGAATTCTTATGTTAATGTAATTGTACAGAATATCAGGGCAGAGTAAAGTTCATAGCTTATGTTTTGTTACCTGCATCAGTTTCCTTACAGATGCTGTCCCGCAGCCTGAAATAAAGATGAATATAAATGTGACTATTTACGGCAAGATATTTTGTTATGATTATTCACAGAAACATCAAGGTTACAGGGTAACTGCCAGGTTAAGACAAAGAGAAATGTCATCTCATGAGAAAATGCAATTAGAGGTGGCAATTTGGTATGAATTCATATGTTTTGATTTGTATGAAAATGTTTTTTTTTGTTTTTGTTTTTTAGAAAAAGTAAGCAAGAAGGTCCATCCCTAAACCTAATTGTCAGTGTGGAATAAGCAGATTGTATGAAAATGTACAAATGAAATGCAGAAATTCATACAAACTACCCACCAATTCGCGAAAACAAAATAGTTATGAATTCCCATCAGAGTGCGTTGGATTTGTTCACCTTGCATAATGAGATGATCAGAGATAGAGCCTCCAAACAGTGAAGTGGGTAAAGCCACAAACCAGGGGATCACATTAAACACCCAATCCTGTCATCAAACAAAATAGAGAATGCTTTAACAAATGACAACATCAAACAACCAGAACAAAACCCATCAAAACCTCATGAACTTCCTCTAGCCTGTTTGCGTGCACAAAACCTCATTCACCATCTTATGATTGAACATTTCGTTTATTAATATAGAGTTAGACATTGTAACTAACATATTAACAAATAACGAGAAATAACCATTGAAGTCAATTAATGTGCGATGGCTGAGGTACCTTGGCATGAGGAAACATGTCTTTGAAGAATGTTGGTAGCCATGACATGAGGGTGAAATACGTGCTACCAAAGCAGAGATGAGCAATGATCATAGCCCTAAAACACACACACACATGCAGTAAGCAACTCTGCATTAATACTCACACATCTTTTAAAAGATTGAAGGTTTAAGTTTATTTGAGTTTGTAAAATCAACATACATTCTATAAGAGAATAGATGTCCTAAAAAATTGGAAACTGTGAGGGAAAATGACAAAACTCAAAATGGAAAACCAAACATGGCAATGAAATGAGTGAAAACAGAGAGTAAAATGAGGGACATGAAAATGTTTTGAACCTCACCAGACACTAGGCTCTCTGAGGAGATACAGCCAATTGATTCTGGAGGATTCAGAAGCAGAACTACGGCTCCACAGTGGGTCGAGGGAGAAAACTGGACCTGTGACAAACAAACAAACTCTGTAGGGATATAAACCCGATTTCTGAATACCAGCGTGAGATGATTAAGATATAGCAGGGACCTCAGTACAGGAATCTCTTATTCTGTGGTGCTGCAAGGTGAGTCAGATTTTTAAAAATGGGTGATGTAAAATAACACTGGCAAAAAAAATAATAAATCCAGTTATTTTATCCACACAGTTGCTATGGCAAACACAAATACTGATTGTTTCTGATTCACTGCGACTTCTCTAGGAGACTTAATTATACAAATACTGCCCTTCAGAGCAATAAAACAGCACTCAATCAAGAAAGAGCACAAAATCTTGAGAACAATGCTATTTAAATTAAACATGTAAAGGATCGTATAAAGATAAGTACATTTTAAGTACCTTGCAGAAGACATTTCCATACACAACAGGTCCAGCAAACAGCAAGGAGACCAGCTCCATAAAACACACTCCCCCATCCAAACCAGTCCATCATCAGGGAACCCACACCTCCAACCAGCAGCATCCTAAGAGAGAAAGACACCTCACTTACAAAATCATGAATAGTGTGGAACACTACATTAAGGGATGTAATTCCAGAGGTGCTTGCATAAAAGAGTGAATCAGTTTTATTTCATACTTCAAATAAATAAATTAAAATATGAATAAAAATAGAATGATTGGGAAAACTTGGTATTATTCTTAGCTGGGTATTATTCTTACCCTAGGTAGCACCCACAGGCCAGTGTGCTCATCAAAAAACCTCTCTCTCCCTCCACCACACGCTGAGCACAGATACTGACAAGAGAAGGGTAGTGAACCCCTAAAAACAAACTCACAATCATGTTCTTCTGAGAATTACTCCTTGATATGCAATAACAATTATGCTCACTTTGAATTACTTTTTGCCTTTAAGGGGCCCATGGAAACCCATTTCTGCCACATAAGAAAAAAATGCTTTCAGAACAAAAAAATCATAAGTATGACAAAAAAAGTACTAAAATACTAAGTCACAATGATGAGATACTATAATTATGCGATAAAAAGTCAATATTGGGATACAAATCATATTACGCGACCTTTGGGTTACAAGTGCGACTCTCTAACCATTAGGCCACGACTGCCCTCAATGAGATAAAAATGATCAGATTAATGTTATAATTATGAAACATAAAGAGATTATCACATTAAATTATCACATATTAAGTCATAATTAAGATAAAAAGTTTAAATTATATTATTCCATAGTCTGTTGGAATTCTTGATTTTGATTGGCTGACAGGTATTCATTAAAGTCAAAATTATGCCAGTCAAAATTATCAAAGTTGAAATGGCATACTAAGTCATAATTGAGAAAAAGTTTATAAAAATTTATATAAAATTTGTATTCATGACATACAGTCGAAATTGAAATTATACATGCTTACAATTATATATTTTTTCATAATTTTAACTTTTTAATCTCATAATTATTACTTTCTGTCACTTTTTATGACGACATTATGAATTTTATGCCACATTTTCAACTTTTTTTCATAATTTCAATTTATGATGTCATAATTATCATGTACCAAATAGGCTTCCATAATGGGCAGAAAAAAATAAAAGTGAATGTAAAAAATGTGTACTACTGAAATTAGTCAGGGAGAGCCGATTCTGATTAAACTACCAAACTAACTTAGACCCACCCTGGTAATTACAGCCAATGCCCCCCAGCATCCAATTTCATAGACTTGCTGGTGGAAATTTCTAGTTCAAACATGTAGATAGATTTCTAAGACTCTTTATTACATTTTTCTGTTCCCTTTTTGAGGTAAAGAAATTTTCTGTCTAATTTCCTCTCATTCTTTTTACAGTTTTCTCCCTTTACTCCTCAACTGTCCCTCATAATGCTCTCACCCTGCATTACCCCCAGTAGAAACCTGGTCATTGTCATGGTAACAAGAGGTCGGAGTCCAATGTTGGCCAGAAGCGGGGTAATAGCTGTCATCACGGCCCAGGAGGAGGTGGACAGCAGCAGTACTCGCTCTCCTCCTATCCTGTAAAAACTAAGTGAATCAGTTTTATTTCATACTTCATATAAATAAATTAAAATATGAATAAAAATAGAATGATTGGGAAAACTTGGTATTATTCTTAGCTGGGTATTATTCTTACCCTAGGTAGCACCCACAGGCCAGTGTGCTCATCAAAAAACCTCTCTCTCCCTCCACCACACGCTGAGCACAGATACTGACAAGAGAAGGGTAGTGAACCCCTAAAAACAAACTCACAATCATGTTCTTCTGAGAATTACTCCTTGATATGCAATAACAATTATGCTCACTTTGAATTACTTTTTGCCTTTAAGGGGCCCATGGAAACCCATTTCTGCCACATAAGAAAAAAATGCTTTCAGAACAAAAAAATCATAAGTATGACAAAAAAAGTACTAAAATACTAAGTCACAATGATGAGATACTATAATTATGCGATAAAAAGTCAATATTGGGATACAAATCATATTACGCGACCTTTGGGTTACAAGTGCGACTCTCTAACCATTAGGCCACGACTGCCCTCAATGAGATAAAAATGATCAGATTAATGTTATAATTATGAAACATAAAGAGATTATCACATTAAATTATCACATATTAAGTCATAATTAAGATAAAAAGTTTAAATTATATTATTCCATAGTCTGTTGGAATTCTTGATTTTGATTGGCTGACAGGTATTCATTAAAGTCAAAATTATGCCAGTCAAAATTATCAAAGTTGAAATGGCATACTAAGTCATAATTGAGAAAAAGTTTATAAAAATTTATATAAAATTAGTATTCATGACATACAGTCGAAATTGAAATTATACATGCTTACAATTATATATTTTTTCATAATTTTAACTTTTTAATCTCATAATTATTACTTTCTGTCACTTTTTATGACGACATTATGAATTTTATGCCACATTTTCAACTTTTTTTCATAATTTCAATTTATGATGTCATAATTATCATGTACCAAATAGGCTTCCATAATGGGCAGAAAAAAATAAAAGTGAATGTAAAAAATGTGTACTACTGAAATTAGTCAGGGAGAGCCGATTCTGATTAAACTACCAAACTAACTTAGACCCACCCTGGTAATTACAGCCAATGCCCCCCAGCATCCAATTTCATAGACTTGCTGGTGGAAATTTCTAGTTCAAACATGTAGATAGATTTCTAAGACTCTTTATTACATTTTTCTGTTCCCTTTTTGAGGTAAAGAAATTTTCTGTCTAATTTCCTCTCATTCTTTTTACAGTTTTCTCCCTTTACTCCTCAACTGTCCCTCATAATGCTCTCACCCTGCATTACCCCCAGTAGAAACCTGGTCATTGTCATGGTAACAAGAGGTCGGAGTCCAATGTTGGCCAGAAGCGGGGTAATAGCTGTCATCACGGCCCAGGAGGAGGTGGACAGCAGCAGTACTCGCTCTCCTCCTATCCTGTAAAAACTATGTTCATCATCATCAGCGTCTACCACTTTCTAGAACTGATCTACAACCTGGGCGCTTCCCAAAAACACTCACCTATCGCTGGCATGGCCACCTAGTACCTGGGTAAAACAGTAACCCCAGAAAAAAGCACCCAGCACTATGCCAGTCTCGGTTTTGCTCCATCCAAATTCTTTTGCCATGGTGACAGCACAGATTGGCATGGCCATCCGTAACCAGTAGAGAAGACATGTGACTAACAGAAGCATCAGGGTCCATGTCCGGGCCAGTGGCCTGCAGCAGGTGGGACATTACAATTACAACAGTTCAGTCTGGTGGCCCAGAGCACAGCACATTTTAGGTGCCTCACTCTGCGGACAATGAGTTACAAATGGAAAATAAATCAGGAAGATATCCAATTGATGGCATGGGATACTTATACAAAATCTTCAGTCATTTCTGAAATTCAACGCTTTCAAAAGACCTGTAAAACATCCAGTCTATCTGATTAACAAAATGTATGTATTTATTTATTTCTCTTTAAAGTTAGGACTCATTCACCAAAAACGTATCAGGGGACTGCAGAGACAAAGTAGATGATTTATATGCATCTATTGCCAGGAAGCGAAACTGTCTGTTGAATGTCTATATTCATGTACCATGGTATCGGAGCAGAGTGTTTTAAAACAGCCATTCTGTAACCTCAGAATTTGATTAGTCAGCAGACAGTAAATACAGTCAGTAAATACAGTCGCACGGAGGCATCAGTAGGCTAACCAATTACCAGTGCAATGGTGTGTATGTATAACTATCAAGGAACGAAGATACAAAGTAGACGATATCTATGCCACTATTGCCAGGAAGCAAAACTAAAGAAAGGTGGATGGAGGACAGCGATGTGAATTTCACTGCCCATTGACAACTACCGCCGATTATAGGAGAATGATTAACTCGCTCCTGTGTAGTTCACAACAGAAACTATTGTTAATGCAACTGATGCACAAATACACTATGACATTTAGTAATGTTTTTAATCTCATTTAATAAACAAGTTTCCTCACACCTTGGCCATACTGTTGTCTTGTCGTTAATTTGCGTTATCTTTAACCCGAACGTATCACACACATTTCCGAAAGGTGTTTTCACAGAGTCCACAGGTGGTTTGAAGCGGTCTGATTCTTGCTCAGCTGCCATTATATCCAACTGAGTAAAAACTAGACACTGAGAGCCGGTTCTGTGCCAAAGAGGAACGTTTACTACTGGATTTATAGGGCGAGCAGTAACAAATAGGAGGTGTAAACACACCTACACGCCGCCACACCAACAATAAATGTTTGAAGAGCAACTCGTCCTGGTCTGCATTTCTTTTTAAGGATTGAAGGTGATTAATAGGTAGGAATGTAGCAATTTTTGTACAATTGGTGACGCAAGACCGCAGTAGGAAAACGTGTAATCTTGCAACATCATTCTGTATTAAATCTCTGTGTTCTCTATGAAATCTGGAGAAGCAGCCTTACAAAAAAAACCTCCAGTAAACAAAACCTACTGTGAAATCAACTTTATCCCAAACAAGCAGTACAAAATGTGAACAAAACTGAGACATAAACATAAGGCTTTAAGTCTGTAATGACAATATTTGTTTTGTACTTAAAATAGCTTATATAATGAAGGTCTAAAACTCAACATTGTTTACTCCACATTACCAGCATCTGTAGCTTCTCATAAATAAAAAATGTAGTTGTTGGATCCATGATAAAGATTAGTTATATTATATCAGTCTTTTTCTTTCCATCCAGGAGCTGATATTTCCCTAAAAACAGCCTAGCATGAAGGACATACTACTGTATGTGAAACCAGTGAAGAGGTTGGAATAAAATAAAATCACAAAACACATATGATATGACAGACTGAAAATTAGCAAAAACAGTATCATAGGAATATTCCATGTTCTTCAGAAAATAGGCTACCAGCATAGTAAATGGTAGATTAAAGTAAAAATTTAGGTTTAAGGGTTTCAATCAGTATAGTTTTGAAATAAATCATATACTGTTGATTAAGTTACTTTTTATAGAGGCATCAAGAAAAAACATATATAGATTTATATTTGCTATCCAGTCACTGACTGTTCATAAATAAGACAAACATATTCAAATGTGTCCATATGGATTACAGTCTCTACTTGGGGTCCTCAATCGTGCCCTTGCTGAGGTCTGTCATTCTGGAGTATTTCACTTTTTTCTGGTCCAGTTCGTTTTGAGCCCACAGTAAAAGCTTCAGCAGCTTTGCTAATTTTGGAGTAGATTCCCTGTTCTCATAGTCTAGAACAGCCTGGTTCACCTCGCTCCACACCTATAGAGGCAGACAGAACCCGGAATTAAGGAGGGAGGAACAAGTGCAGAATTCACAACAGGTACAGTAATGCCCCCTACTGTATATAAAGGAGAATCAACTGTCATGGAAACAAAGATCACTAACTTGTCATTATGGTTATGTACTAGGGGTGGTACATAACCATAATGACGATTTTTGATCATGGACGATTAAAATGTCTCCACAATCTGCTTTTGAAGAAATATCGTAGTATCGCGCTACAGCGCACATTCTATCAGCTGCAGTTCTGGTGCCTCCGTCTCAATATAATGTCCAACGCGACATAAATTCATATCAAATACTAACTCAGCATTAGAGTTACACTTACGGGACATTGTACTTATTTGCAATCACAAAATTACATTATTTTCATGTGCTTTAACGCCTTGCCAGTTAAAGGGGTGGTTGATCAGCTTTTTTCGAAGGCTTGATTTGTGTTTATGCAGCATAACGTGTTCATGCTTCATTAAAAAAAAAACACATTATTTTCACATATTTTACCTTTATTCTACGCCGCTGTTTCCATTCTCGTCAAAACGGTCTGTTGAGTTATTGGTTCTTTGAAGCCCCTCTCTCAAAACTATGCAATTGGGCTCAGATTGGTTAGCTGGCCCAGTGTGTTGTGATTCGCTAACCGCCTATAATGCACGATGTCCGGAAACGTAACTTCCCTTTACCATTACGGATAGTTGCATGTTCACGGGGGCAGGGTTTATGCAAACATCGGGGTTAGTGATGTCACAAACCTGGGAAGAAGCTCGTTGTAGTCCCTACCAGCCTTTTTTTGTAGTCATTAAACAGCGATTTCTTTAAAAGAAAATATCTCCCTTTGCATTGAACTTTGAGCGTCGTAACTTTGCAGACTTGTTTATGCTCTAACAGCAACATTACACACTAACTAAAGTTAAAAAAGGGAAATCATAATCAACCACCCCTTTAAACATTTAATGTGCGTGCTGTTCTGACGTGCGTTTTTTCTGAGCACATACACCTGAGGCGCGCACACTCCAAAAAGCCTGTCAAACAGCGCCTGATTACTGGACAAAGTTATCTTTCACGTCTGATTGTGCTAATACTGTGGAAGAGAACTGAACTGAGCTGGACGATGACATCACTGAATCAGCAACGAACTGACTTTAACTGATAAACTGACTGTTCTATTGTCCTTTTGCATTATTAGCACATGGTTTTCCTGTTTAACACTGTAAAGCTGCTTTGACACAATCTGTATTGTATAAAGCGCTATATAAATAAAGGTGAAAAACACACAAGGTTTACATATAAACACAGTTGGTTATGTCCAAAGTGAAAGTAAACAGTTGAGAGAAAAACTAATGCGTGCAGGTCTTAACGTGACAGCCGACTAATTGTACTAAACATGCTGCTGCTTGTCATTAAAGGGATAGTTTACCAAAAAATTACAATTCTGTCATTATTTACTCACTCTCATATTGTCCCAATTCTTGTGCTGAACACAAAAGTAGATATTTTGAAGAATGTGGGTAACCAAACATTTGCTGGTATGGGGGTAGAATTGTTGCTTAATTCCAAATAAATAGATTATGATCCACAAATAAATAGAATGTCCCCTTAGACTTTGATAGTAGGAAAAAATATATACTATGGAAGTCAATGGGGACCAGCAACTGTTTGGTTACCCACATTCTTCAAAATAACTTTAATGTTCAACAGAAGAAAGAAACTCATTCATGTTTCAAACTAATTAAGAGCGAGTAAATTATGACAATTTTTTTTTTTTTTTTGGGGAATTATGCCTTTAATGTTAATAAAACAACAAAACAAAAAAAAAGAGAAAAAACACACAATGCTCTTGACTAGGGATGTAACGATTAACCGCGAGCCGGTCGAAAATCGATTCAAATGTGTGACGATTCAAATCGGTCGAGATGCCAAACAAATTGCGATACAATTGGAGTAGGAGTTTATATGAATGTATCTCTGAGGGGAACTGACTATCTTTAGAAAAGTTTACGTGGTATTTTCTTTTCATCTTGCCTCTGAACAGTGTATATTAAAGTAGTGTTCATAAGCAGCTCTGCTTTGTTTACAGCGGTAACCAAGGAAACACTGTCATTGCTGTTCATAAGCGCCACCTGCTGTCAGAGAGTGAATCTGCGTCTCATTCAAGCTCGTCTGCCGTTTCGTTCAGATATGTTTTATGTAGTATAGTTTCACAAAACTAAAGTCAGAGCATTCTGTTTTTGCTTCAAATTTCGAAATGATAGTCTAATTTAGATTAAAAACTACTCATGTTGCATGTATGCTGCATCTTTGTTTGGATCATGATTAAAATACAGTGGTTGCCTCTAATTTTAAATGGGAAGAGCACAGACAAAGCCTTAGTTTGTTCATATTAAGAGATTTCTTTTATTTGTGTAACTTATTGTTTGATTTGGGGTTAATTTTTATATTTGTTCATTCAATTTCTTGAATGCTACTGCTAAATACACCTACTCTACCTGAACAATAAAGCACTGTTTGTTTTATTTGTATATTATGTGTATTTGTAATGTATCATTATCATATCAAATATCTTTGTTCTTATTTTTTAATAAAAAAGATAAAATAATGACAAAGACTTTTATCTTCGCCCACTTTGGCCTTAATGTCTGCCATTATTTTTTATTTTATATTCGGTTACCTTATAAGGCTTTGTTTTTGAAATAGGGAAATTAGTTTGGCTGTACTGCTCAGACAACTTGCAAATATAAAAATGTTCCGAGTGATAAAATCATGATTTTCCTGAAAAAGAAATCATGACATTATATTTTTTCCATATCGCTCACCCCTATTATGTCCTACACAAAAAAAGCACAAATACCTTCTGCCTCTGCATCATATTGAGCAGGTCTCCAAACGGCGATTCTTCAGGGTTGTCGAAGGCGAGCAGTGCCAGGGTTCGCTCCATCTCAGTAAGACATTCTCTGCTCTCCTCTCCCTGTTCAGCCAGCTGTGACTGCGCAAACTCCAGCGCTGCCTCAGTCTCCCGCAGACGAATGAGTTCAATCAGATGCTGCTGCTACAAGAGTTTAAAAGAAAAGTTAACAACAGTTTCACAATGAAGATCAGGTCAAGTTTTACTATAAGAATTGTTTTCTTTTCAGTACTTTTCAATTTTTGTCATCTGGGGTGGAACAAGAGGCCTTCATTTCTATGTTTGCTTGTGCATTGTAAATAAACACAACATGCATGGATTCTGTCATGGTTTACACTGGCTCTCTAAAACGCTCTCTTAGGCCTGGTTTATACCTGCAATTTAGATGCATTTTTGCTGATCCGATCACAAGTGAATGACACTAAATACAGGTGTAAAGAGGGTCTAAAAGTTTGGGGAAGTCGTGGCCTAATGGTTAGAGAGTCGGACTCATAACCCAAAGGTTGTGGGTTCGAGTCTTGTACCGGCAGGAATTGTAGGTGGGGGGAGTGAATGTACAGCGCGCTCTCTCCCACCTTCAATACCACGACTGAGGTGCCCTTGAGCAAGGCACCGAACCCCCAACTGCTCCCCGGGCGCCGCAGCATAAATGGCTGCCCACTGCTCCGGGTGTGTGTTCACAGTGTGTGTGTTCACTGCTGTGTGTGTGCACTTTGGATGGGTAAATGCAGAGCACTAATTCTGAGTATGGGTCACCATACTTGGCCACATGTCAAGTCTCATGTCAAGTCATGTCAAACAAGCTTGTCCAATTTCAACCACTTCCAGAGGTAGTTAAAAACGGATTGCTTTCATAGTTTAGATGCTCATGTGGTGAAATGTGTTCAAGCAACCACAAAAGACCACTGTCTCACCGCCTACTTCCCTAACATGTAATATTTTAATGGGACAGGTTTTGAGAAAGCACAATAAAACAGTCGATTCAAACTATGGTATATTGTGCCAAAACCCACAGATTAAGATTGAAATCGCAGTTAACTTATGCCGGGTTCACACTGCATGATTTTAACCCCGATGTTCACTCGCTGCAGTTTTGTGGAAATCGCAGATTAATGCCCCAAATCAGAGGCAAATCAGTGCTCGGTCACACGAGTGACAACCACGTAGTGTGCATTATCAAAGACGCAATCTGAGAAAAGCGCTGTTGGCGATTGTCTGCAATTCTTGCTATTGAAAAGTTGTGTAATGTGTGACCCCTTCTCACCGATCTGTCATATAGTGTGCACACAACATGAACTAGATGGTACCCCAGCCAGTCATGCAGAGTGAGCAGCAATCCGGCGACTTTGAAAGTCGATTTTCAATGATTTTCAAAGTCATCGGATTGCTGCTCACTCTGCATGAATGGCTGGGGTACCATCTAGTTCCTGTTGGCTTAAGGTGACCAAATGTCCTCTTTTTCCCAGACATGTCCAGGACAGAATTTTATGAATTGCCTAGACCAGTGGTTATCAATTCCAGTCCTTGCGTACCACCATATTTTGCATGTCTCTCTTATTTAACACACCTGATTCAGAAAACCAGCTCATTAGAAGAGAGCTCCATGCAAGAACTGTGTTCAGATTGACATGGTCCCTACACAGTGTTCTTTGCTCACAACTCCCTGAGCACGGGAAATCTGTTTAAGTTTAATTCACTTCGGAACATTAATTCACGTATTTGCGTTACGCCACAGCCTGCAATGTCTTTACACACCGAAGAAACTTACTAAAGAAGTGTGACATAATACACCTCTGTAAATAAATACAATTTAAATTCATGTTTCACACACTTTAATGCCCTTTGAATGGAACATATACGCTCCCTTCGAACTGGAATCATGGTGGAATATCCGGTGATGTCCACTTCGCAGGGCACTTATGGTCAAATAGAACATTCGTCTGAAGTGATAAAAGATACATACAAAATAGGCAGAGCGGGGGTTGCGAGGAATGGAATTGAGAATTGATGTTTTCCTATTAACATTCTCTCTAATGTTCTCATATATGTATGTGTATTTGCATTGTTTTAACCTTTCTCTGTAGATCCCACCTTCTTGCACGCCACAATTGGTTGATTGTCTGTACAAAGTCTGCACACTATTGGTCAAAGTACGTTTCAGTAATTACCTTCAGCAAGTATAAAAACAATAGGAAAGCAAAGCCAAAACCAGGACATTTTAGGTAATTTAGAGATCTAGAGCAGGACATGCAATGGTCACCCTATGTTAACATTCATATTCTTTCCTTTGCATGCAAGTAGTGTAATGGCTTCATTTTCGTATTTGTATTCATATGCTGCATTCAGCCTGCCGCAAAAGTGATGTAAAGTGTGACGAAATAACAGGGGTCGGTCTAGCAGGAAACACATTTAAAACGCATCTTAATACCAGGTGTGAACAGGACTTTAGCCATCTCCCTCCTTCCAAGAATGTCCATATGAGGTCAGATGTTTACCTGAAGGTGAAAGTATAGGTATCGTTTGGTGTCGAGGAGCTCTGGGTGGAGGCTGTTAATGAGAGCAATGGCTTCCTGGATCTGACCTTTCAGAACCATTTCCCTGATCTTTATCCTCTCATCCAGAGAGTCCAGATCCACATTCGGCTCAATTCCAGATTCCATACGAAACTTCTCTGCAGCCTCTTTAAATCCCTCTGTGGAATACAATCATGATCAGAGCGGAAGTTTATGTATTTCATATTGCATTAACATTATATTAACAGTATATTCATATTTATTTTAATTTACACATATCTGTGCATTTGACTTCAATCAACCACTATACTATAAAATAATACTGACATACCTGTTACTAGATAGTTCATGATAAGCCTGTTCATATCTGCCCTCTGAATGTGCACATTATTCAGTTTATCCATCCATTCCTCCTTTGTAATATCCTCAGGCTTTTCTGAATAACTCATCATGGATGTACTGTGGTAAACATGACATGTAAAAAAAAAAAAACATTTTGCAGACATCCAAAATAAAAAAATGCACGTGCACTAACTTTTAAATGCTATTATCAGAGAAGTAGTTTCACTTTTAGTGACCACTGTTTCTAGCTGTCCATGTTATCAAAAAAGAAAAACCTATTTTCGCTTTTAAGTAGTCTAAGGTTGCGATGTTGGTGTTTGAAGGTAAATGAATGAACTGCACTGAGCACATTCATATTTTCGCGGTGTTTCTGCTCATAGACAGCACAACAGAGCAGCCTGCGGCTCACTGGCCAGTCAACAGTGTATGCGTATTTGGAATGGTAACACTGATGCACTTGACAGGTTTAAAATGATTAAAGACTCGTTATTAAGGGATGAAATTTCGCATTAATTATTTTTCGCTTTTATCAAGGCATGAAAATAAACTAGCCCTGAGTGCATGAACCTCAGCAGCGCGTGAGACTTGCAGACGGGCTTGTTCAGCTATTTTCAAACAATAACATTTGCGAATGACCATGCATGAAAACAAAATAATATTCAATTATATTAATTTTAGCTGTTGTTTATTCACGTTATTTGTTTTCTTCTCAAAATAAGAAGAATGATGATAAAATACTTACTGTTTACGGTTATAAATAGCGGTGGGCCTCAGAGAAGGTCACGCGATAATAGAGGAGAGCTCTTAACGAGACTTGAGGGGAGGTCAGTGATTGGTCGGAATATTGACGTCACGGTTGCTGTGGCAAAGCTGGTAAGGTTGCCAGATCGTAGGGAAAAGGAAGAAATATATTTTATATATATATAATTTTTATTTAAAAAAATATATATATATTTTTGTTCCTGTAAGTTATATGATTGTAATAATGTGAATAGGTTGTGTTGTATCTATATGTTAAAATCTTTTGTTAATCTGTTTGAAGCAATAAAAAATAAAAAAAAGGTTGCCAGATCGTTTTACTTTATATAATGTATTTTATATTACCCCTGGCCCTGTGTTTTTGTTGTTGTTGTTCTTTATTTATTTTTGTCTTGTGATTTTGTTGTTACTAGGGTTGTATATTTTTGTATACTTGTTGATAATCCTAAATTAAAAAAATAAAATAAAAAGAAAGGTTGCCAGATCGTGTGCACAGTGTTGGACTGATCATATAGATTTATTTTATTTACAGAACATTAATATCTGGAACAAGTATTTCTCTGTTTGTTTTTATTTGCTTTGAAACTATTTAAGAAAAACAATTATAACCGTTTGAACTACGTATTATAAATTGCAGATTGAGTTTATACCTAAAAGTCTAATGAAAGTCTAATGATTTTTTTTTTAAATATATGCGTATGTTATAGATCTTATTGTGACTAATCAGTTTAATCAGTGACATTTCTTTAAATTGACAAACTGACAAATCAGTCAGATTTCTTTAAATTTACCTCGTAATGATTAATCAAAATGTCATAACTGGATCTTGTCAATAATGACCAAATATCTTTTTAGCATTGACTTTAACTTCTCCAGCAATTTCAGTGTTTTGTTCATGAAGAGATAGCCTACAGCCTGCCCTAATATAAACCATAACATTCTGATGGTTTACCTTGTTATTCTAAAACCTTCCCAAAACAAGTATGAATTTACCTAATCCTCTTATCTAACACAATGCTCTTATTGCAAAACAGGCATCAAAACATATTCTGTAGGGCGAGAAAGATAATTGATTATGTCTCAGAGATTAGATGAGACTATCATCTTTATTATGTAGACCAGATGAGAAATCCCCCTAGTGGAGGGGGAGATTTTTGTTGCAACATGTCTATATACAGTACAATACAATACATCTATTGTTTATTTCCACTCCTCAGCAACAGCCGGTAAGTTCTGCTGATGATGATCAGACATTTTGAGCCAATGAAATGTGTTTGTGAATGTGTTTTTTTTGTGCTTTCAGGTTGAACCACACCATATGTTATTTCTCAAACAAAACAGGTGATGCAATAAAACTTTTGAGTGTGACATTGAATTGTCTGTGATTTTATTTATCAGTTAATCAAATCAACTGTATCAAAGACTGACATTCTGTAAACAATAATAGTGATTTTGAGAGCATATATATACAGTGGGTACGGAAAGTATTCAGACCCCCTTATAAAAAAAACAAACAAAGGTGCACCATTGATTCTTTGTGCCCTCTTAAATAAAAATCTCGGGGCCAGATGCATATAAAAGTTTTAGCGACTATTACAATTTAGTTGTCAAATTTTTTCTTCTTCTTTAAGATGGCATACATTAGTTACATACATTGGTCTGAATAATTAAAGACTTGGATAAATTAATGGCTAACTGCTAGTCAGACAGTCTTAACATAGTGCCTAAATTTATGCAACTGGCCTCAGATTTTATATTTTTTTATTATCTTTATATAAGTGTTCAAGGTTGGTTCTTTTTTATAAATGTGTAGGCCTATTGGTTACTGTTTTTTTGTGTGTTTTTTTAAACACCATGCTTTCAAATAACTATAGAAGAAAAAGTCTTTTGTGGAACTTAAAATCATTTTCTTAGTAAATTCATTTGCCATGTTTTAAAATAAACAAAATTGTTTATTATTTAAAACAATAGCTACTAAAACAAAGGTAACAGAAAATGTAAATATAAGGGTTCAGATTTTTTTTTTTTAACTCTTCAAAAAAACGAACATATATTTTTTCACAGTTACAGTGTTCATGTAATAGCCTATTTGCATAAGCAAGAACTTCCGAGTGTGTGTCATTGAAATATAGGCTATTTTATTGTGTAATTATAGGTCATATTGTTCATAATTACATATTCAAAATAATTAACACGCTGATATAAAGACTTAATGTGACAGTATAGGCTATATGGTGTCATAATATTCTGTCTCATGTTCAGTTGCTCAACAATCCCCCGCATCTCTTTCAAGGCCCGAGCTTGCATCAGGATGAGGTTTTTGGCCAGGAGCAGCGTCGCTATCTTGGACAGTTTTTTCACGTTTTGATTCGGCGTGTAAATCAGGTGTGATGACAGCTCGCAGGTCATCCAGTGCGTCGTTAAGATGCCTCCGTTCGCGCGCATTGATAAGTAGCCGCAGCGCTCGGCTTTTTGATTTTTTTTTTTGTGAAATCCATTTTCCAGACACTGAAAATGTTTTCGGCCCATCTCCGATGCTGTCTCTTCGATTATGCGATCATTGCGATGGTCCGTGGTTAATTCATCAGAGGGCTGCGTGGAAACTCCTTCACTGAGGCTCTGACCGTAGGGCGTGCAGCTCACAATCTTGGTCACCATTCCGCATTGGATTCATTCTCCTGATGTTCATTCTGTCAGCAAATATGAATGTATTAGGCTATTCGTCTACGTCCAACGTCTTTTGACGCCTGAGTTTGCTGCAGTAAACGGCTATTTGACCTGTCGAAACTTTTGAAGGATTAACAGACTGTCCAATCAAATCTGCGTCCACCAACACAAACATAAACAAACAGGTGCTGCTTTTATCTAATAAGAAGCGTATTGTTTTACAATCATAACAACAATGATATTAAACATATGTTTACTTGATGTAAGGTGACGTTTTGCTTTTGTAAAAGTTTAGTCGACATCCAAAACTGTTCATAATTTACATGCTTAATATTTTGGGGTTAAATGACAATTTTTTTTATTTTGTATACCAACTCAGAATTTGAAAGGCTATTGTTGATATTCTGACTTTGTGAGAGATGGAAAAGGCTGGCTTTGCTTTTGGAAACTGGGTCATCACGCCAAATTATGACTGGGTGTGTTAATCTACCCTGTGTTGACATTTTCAAAAAATCTCCCTCAAAAAGTGAGAAGGAAACTGGGCTGCACACAAACACTGTTCTTGAATGACAGTAAGGTAATAGTAAATGCTAAATAAAACATAAATGTAACACACGATTTATTTTAGAAAAACAGTTTGCTCCCATTGTATAAACAGATTTTATGTCAGTCAAATGATATAATAAATAACAATATTCCTCCTAGAAATGCCCCAAACAAGTCGAATGAATTAGTCATTTACTAATGCAAATGAGCATGATTAAAATTAGACTTGCAGTGCTGGAGGAATCCTGTGCATGTGGAGGGGGTTGATAAAAGGCAATCAAGTATTTTGTGATAAGGAGAAACACATCTGTTCAATAAGTGAGAGTTGATGGCCTAATTTGTTTATTCTAAATGCAAGCATGATTGCATTAGCCATAAACATGTAAAATAATGACAGACTCAGAGAAATTATACCTAAAAAAAAAAAGCTCATACCAAAAAAAACATTTTTCTTAATATGTTTTCTGGGTGAATTTATCAAATAAAGCTGAACTTATGCAGCCCTGATTCCTTATACACTTAAACACACACACACACACACACACACACACACACTAAAAACCCTAAATAAATACAATTAAATAAAACAGTATGTTTCACAAGAAAATACTATTTCATTCTTTCTACTTCAAAATGTTATGTTTAACTCAATGTGTTAATTGCCATTTTTCATAATTATTTGTGAAATTTACTAGCAATTTCTGAGTGAAAAATTGTAAAAAATTGTTTTTACACAAAAAACATTTTCAGTTTAATATAGTGATTGCAAAAGATTTTCATCAGCACATAATTGCCTTCGGTCATATCATTAGTGTAGCTTGGACTTCCTTTCAGTAAATGACACATGACCAGAAATATATATCACATGACCTCTAGTTGAGGACTCCCATTCTATCTGTCAAACATAATAAAACAATAGGAGAGGAGGGATTGAGGAGATAACAGAGGAGATGCACCAGAGATCAGTGGCTGATATCATATGGAAAAGCACACCCTCCACCTGAAGGTACCCGCCTTATTCTATTCATTCTGTTTCTGTGTTGAATTAGATAAGTTGAATTAGATCTCGATGAGACTAAAATCATAGATAAAAATGGCTGTAATTATTTTTCCATAAAATTAGATTATATTGAATTTTACATACCATACAAAATGTAAAACAAAATGCTAAAATGCAATCACAAGATCACAATATCAGAATCACAAATAAATCATAAAAAAAATAATAATGTTTTTTAGTTTCTGCCTGATGTGGAATACATCTCTCCTCAAATGGATCTCAGCTACCCAGTGCTGTGATCAACCCTGTGAAACCACAGATGCCAGGTAAGAGAGTCACACTTTATCACTTATCAACAGATTCACCCACTGGACGGTTGGCTGTGGGGAGATGGGGGTCCCTGAGTAGGAAGTGGGGTGAAAGTAAAATCTGTTGCTGGGCGACTGAATCATAGTTGCTATGGTGAACTTGAGTTGAGCAGCTGGTCCAATCAGCTGAGACATGTAGGGCAGAGTGGATCTCATACTGAAGAGAGTGATGTAGAAACACGTGGGAGGAAGAGAGAAGGATGGTGGGAAGAAGAGAGAGGGAGACTGGAAGTAAAAGAGAAGACTGACACAGTAAGAGAGGAAAAGAGGGAAGTTGTAGAAAATGATCAAACAGGATGAAAACAGAACAGCAATGAGGAAGATAGTGAGGAGGGAAAAGCTAAATAAATAAAAATAAAAGGATAAAATGATCTAGTCCAGAATATTCATGTACTAAATTTATTTTACACACATTCATTTTTGCCAAATTTTTATTTAATTTTCTTTTTTCCCCTCTTTCATTTAACAGTATTGTTGTG